AGGAAACAGTTTTCCCGAGTCATGATGGATCTCGGAACATTCCAGATCTGTTTACAGTTACGAACGGCCCATTATGGATGGCGCTTGTTAAACACGAGGGATGTTTGATAGGATGCTATGAACTTTTTGTCCTGCACTAAGACATTTGTCTTTCAGGACGGTGATTCTCCATATTGTTAGCCTCTGATCACTTACGACAGCCTGACCCAAACCAGAAAACTGCAATAGCTCTTTTATTTTCAAGCTAGTAGATTTTCATGTTGTTTCGCTGGCGTAACAAAATGCGTGGACAACATCAGATTTCAGCTTGATGGAGCATGTCCTTGAACAAACTTTTTGGGTGTAATTCATCCTTAGAGTTACACCTGGAAGATGAAAAATGGGTTCAAAAATACCATAGACACTGATAGAGGGACACGAACCATTAGATAGGCAAATGGCTCTTTTAACTATGGAAATGTGCTAAAGGAACATCTTGGCAACTGTATAGCAATGCCTTTGCAACGCATCTACAACACTGTAGCATTGTGGCAGTGAGTTTTGTACAATTAACCTATCATATTTGGTTCTGACAACGTAAAAATCTAATATCCCCGGTTTGAGCCAAACTTTTTGATCCAATCTACAGGATTCGTCCTGATCTTGTAGAATTAATTTGTGTAACACAGAGGTTTTATTTGAATTAGCCTATATCAACTTTCTGTTTCTGTAAAAGACATTAAAAAAGTGAAATAAATATGAACGAAAACTACCGCCAGGAAGCGATACATCAACACCGGAGGTAAGAGATATTCTCAAAAATGACTGACCTGGTTCAGACTTCTGCTTAAACCATTTCACATGTTTTAATAGTCATATGTCATTGTTGAAAGAATACATCAGTATTTTTGTCTAAAAATATCAAACATTTATTTATTATAATATATCCGACCGCACCGACTGAGACCAGAGTTTCTTTCTGTCAAAAATCCTGTCAACTGGTTACCAACATATATTTTTTTATATCTTCTTTTGTGTTCAACAGAAAAAATAAACGTATAAAGGTTTGAAACAACTTGAAGGCGTGTAAATGACGACATTTTCATTTTTGGGTGAACTATCCCTTTAATATCTTATGGAATTTAATTCTTAATTTTTAATAAAAATGTTTTTTTAATCCTAAATTTAATTAAACTAAATATTGTTTATTTAGATGTATTTTTTACTGGCAACTTTTTTTGCAGTGTAATCAGTCCCCCTGTTGCAGTCTATTAGCAAATAGACGAGTTGCTGTGACACTGATTTCCCAGTTTCTGTGTGGTTTGGAGCGGTTCCAAACATTTCCTAAGGATCTTAATTCACTCTTCTGATAACAATTTGCAGAACCCCGAGAACCTTCCAAGAACTTCCTAAATGAAGATCTACAGGCGCATCAGAGGAACTAGCACGCTACAGATAAGTCTTCGTTTGTTTGGCTCACGATTGAACAAATGGACTTGTGTTTGAGGTTGAGGAAATGAAGGTGTCAGTTTCCCTCAGGATCGCGCTGTCACGAGCCCGTTCTCCCGCGCCGAGGAATTACCGTGTGATTGATTCGAGCCCAACGCGCTGCGGTTCCTGTCCGCCCAAAGAGCGAGACCTGTGTGTGCTTCTTATTAGGACAGATTGAGCTGTTCAGACTGAGCCGTGCAGTAAAACATGAGCGAATCTCACTCCCTGGATTACTCCATCTCTCCAGAGACGGGATAACATGGACCGCCGCTGTTTTAGATTGATCTCGAGCTGAGTTTGATGGCCTTTCGTGAATTTAGTCATTGAACCAGAAACTTTTTTTTTTTTTTTCAGAAACATTACCACATAATTATGCAGAACGTCAATGTATTTCGGTAATGAACATCTGGATGTAAAAAACCGGAGGTCTGAAGCTTGATTTTGGTATGCGGCTCTATTTATAACCCAAAACTAAACCCACTCGATTAGCCCACTTGTGTAGCGCATGAGTTCATTATTAGCAGTGTTGAGTTACTTTAAAAAAAGTAATTAATTACTAGCTACTAATTAGGCCTACATCTTCAACAGTGTAATTAGATTAGTAATTTCTCTCTCTTACTAATTACTTTCTATCTAAATCCTATCAGCCTCGACCAGTTAAACAATAAAGGGATAGACACGAGACTGTACTTTTGATTCTTTCAAATAAACAATATACGATTTCATGAATTATTCTTGAAGTGATCAGTGGGAGAAGGGTTACATTAAAACTTAACATTGAATTTTGATGTTAAACCCACACTGTAAAAACATATTTTCATGATTTGATATCGCAACTTTATTCTTTTGTCAAATCAACTTAATTAACGTGGTTCAGATGACATAATATTTTGAGTTTCTATTATTAAACCAATCTCCTTCATTGCATTCACTCATTTTTTTTTATTTCAATTAACTAAAAATTTTACAACCAGTAACTTGCTTTTTAAAATTAAAACCAAGAATATTTTTTTATTATTCACCATTGTGTTATATAGAATTGTCTATACAGTAATTAATGCACTTACTGCAGAAGTAGCTGTAATTAAATTACAGAAATATTAAGAGTAATCCCTCAAGGGAAAAGTAATTCAACTTCAGCAATTAGGTTATTAATTACTCCTGACACTGATAGTATTGCTGATTTATGCGTATTATACAATCCCTGATAACTTTTGAAAGCACATTTTAAACCCGTCCACATAAACCGTTCCCTCTGTTCTCAGTATGAAAGCTTAGTCAGACGAGGAATCAATTTGTGTCATGTGTTTCCAGTTTTACAAGTGTCACTTTTAATGTATTTGTAGACCGTCCTTGGTGCGGAGGACTCGTATCACACTTTCACTACAGATATCATTCACTCAGGTGTTAAAAACGAGTCCAGGGGTCCAGCCTTTCCTCGAGGTCAAACATCTTGAAGAAATGACGAGTGATTTATTCACTAAATGCCAGCTGTATTGATTTCAGCACTCTATTATTTACTGACGGACAATCTCTGATTGACACAAACCAACAGTGGAGTTAAACTGAACCACCTTTTCGTAGGTGTGGTTGTAGATTACATGTCTCAAAGACTTTAAAAAATATGATTAATAAATGTACAAATTTCAGCTCTCAGTCCTTTCCCAGTAATTAGAATCATCATTGATAATCTTAGTAAATATTAATGCATTTGATATGTCACGGTCCTGCAAATGTCTTTTCCAGAAATGCCTGTTTTAGGGTGCAGACGTCTGGCTCTACTGACCCTGAGGCAACATTCACACTGGGGCCTTTTTAATACGACGTTTTTACAATAAAAAAGTTGCATATAGTAACAGTGGGAAACAAAAGAAACGTACATGTTCAGTGCTTATTAGAAAGACCTGATGAAAAGCACATGTTGGACTGTTTGTTTATGGTTCCTAGAGTTTACAGAGGAAAATTCATATAAGGAAATGTGAGGATGAATTTATGTATGTATATAAAAACAATATAGAAATATATATTTAAAAAAATGTGCTTATATATATATATATATATATATTTTTTTTTTACATATATATGTGTGTGACCCTGGATCACAAAAACAAGTCACAAGTCGCACGGGTAAAAGTGTGGCAATAGCCAACAATACATTGTATGGGTCAAAATTATCGATTTTTCTTTTATGCCAAAAATCATTAGGATATTAAGTAAAGATCATGTTTTATAAATTTCCTACCGTAAATATATAAAACATTTATTTTTGTGAGTGAATGCAGCACAATCGCGAACTTTAAAGGCGATTTTCTCAATGTTTTGATTTTTTTGCACTCTCAGATTCCAGAATATTGTATCTCGGCCAAATATTGTCCTGTCCTAACAAAGCTTATTGATTCAGCTTTCATGTGATGTATAAATCTCAATGTCAAAAAATTGTGGTCCAGGGTAAACAGCATATAACTCGGACGAGTGAATAATTGTGGAAGTGTGATCTGTAATACAATGCTCTCTAGACATTCCTTTCATATTGTACTGTTGTGTTTTTATTCATATCGATCAATACAAAATACAAAAATAAATCATTACATTACAAACTCCTTATATTTTTAAAGTGGCTCAAAAACATTACAGCAATTGGGCATTTGAGTCAAAACATGATCAGAAACAATGTGTGTTAGATAAATGTGTTAATATCATGGAAACCATAATCACAGTCATATCTTAATTTTGTGGCTAAAAACAATTCACGATACATATGGAATACATAAAGTAATATTAATTTAGTCTACAAATATCGCTTGCATTCATGCGGTTCAGTTTTGGTCCCTGTTCAACCATACTGACAGCCGTTTAGTGCTGGAGAATATTTACATGTTGGTTGTTCTTGTTGGATCCAAGTCACAACCGGTATGACACACATTCAGGCCACTCCACAGTACAGATCTGAATGCAAATGCTGTTAATAAAGGCCTGAGTCACGGAATGTCGCTCGATACACATGAGCCGAAGTTTTAAGCTGCCTTGGCGTGATTGCATTAACAACACCATGCTTTATACATATAGCATATCTGCTTTAAACTGCATATTTCTTGAATTTCAGTGTATGGCTTTGCTACACACAGGTAGCCGAGAGGAAGGCAGGAAGCTATGATTCTGTTTCCTGTAGTAGCAGCCCTGTGTCAAACGTGTCTCTGTTCCAAAACCTTGCTATCTCTTACTTGCATAGTGCACTGCTAAGTGCACAACACATACTGCCTACTATCTTCTAAGGGTAGGTTCACACAACGATGTACTAAAAATCAAAACGTTTTTCCTTTGCATTAATCGCATAGAGAAAACGATCTCCGTGAAAACGACTAAAAACACTGTATTATTCATGCCAGGCCAGTAGATGGCGATGTCACTTTGTAAAGAAACACTAGACGCCCATAGGCTGAAAATGTTTTCACAAATTCGCATTTTTGTTGTTTACACGGAGACAAAAACATGCGCTTTGAAGCCCGTTTTCAAAAGATTGCTTTCTCAAAACGCCGTTGACGTGTAAATGAACGGCCAAAACGCATAAAATGTTTGACGTTTTTAGTTGAAATTGGTGTCGTGTAAACTGTTATGGAACTTTGTAAGTGACTGATTTGAAACACTCCTCAAAAATGTTAAGCTCACAATTGATTCCAAACAGTTTGGCGTTAGCATGTTGCTAAGCTAATTGCGCAGTTTTTAAGAATACAGGGATCAATAGTCCATTTGTAACTTTTTATTAAATATTGAATTAAATTTGAGAATATTTATGAATTGCTTTTCAAGTCCGCCGCCTTGGATTTTAAATCGAGCTTGTCGCAATGGATTCTGGGATTGCTTCAATTGTGAAATACAACTGATACTGACGTAAATGTAATAAAAGGCCATTTATTTTGTCATTTTTCGCATTGGGCGTCTAGGTAGGCGGCTCATTAGGTTTTGGAACAGAGCTAGCGTTAGCATGCTAGATCATTCATGTGTGCTGTGTGCTTTTAAACACCTAGACTACAGCCAAAGTGAGCTTGAACAGGGGCAGTTTTAACTTTCTGCGTCTTTTTCACTTGCTTGCGTCCCTTATTAATCCCAAACTATCCTAAAGGTTAAACATTCCTATGACACAAATCCACAAACTCTCATTTTTACTGCCCTTTGTGTTGCGGAAAACCTGTAAATATTTCTCTTGCCTTCCCATTCACACGTTCAAGGTCGCGTTCAATCGCTTCATTCACTCATACACACACTCGTGCACCAGTAAAGAGTCACAGCCAGCAGTAGCAGTGCGTCGGGATGGGTGTTTGGTTGTGTTTTGGTGAGCTGCAGGCTGGTTTAGGTGAAGTGCTGTTTGTGCAAGCAGTCCAGAAAGAGGAAGAGTGATCTAAGAGAGCGAGGGAAGAGGATGTGCGCCTCTGTAGAGGTCAGAGATGCACTATGGTCCTCCCCGCACATCCTCGCGTGTTTACTTTGAACGCTTCTTGGACTTCTTTATTCTGAAAGAGAAAGAAAAGTCATATTATCAGAGATGAACAACCACTTGTTTTGTTTTCCACAAAGTTCTACTTTCAAGACGTATACTGTATGTCAATGCTGAAACATTTATTACATTTCTGAGGATGAAACTTTAATTGCAGTCTTTGAACATTGAACTATTCTGTTAATGTATGCAACATGTTTTTTTTTTTATGAATCTAGAACATAGTTTTATCAAAAAGTATTTTGCAAGTAGGTCACTTGGAACAAAAAGTTTTAGATTTATTGAATTAATTTAGATAATTTACAGAATGCCTTAGAGAGCAGACAGTGCTATTTTAGTATTATTCATATTTTTAAATGGGTTTTATTTGTAAATTTGCAAAGTTTTACTAATTTTGTTATGTGCTTTTGTCCTCATTATTAGTTTTGCTATCTTTTTTAGCTTTAACTGATTTTATTTCAGTTTAAGTTATTTTAGTACTTTAACTTAAACTTATTTTATTTCAGTTAGTTGCCAAGGCAAAATTTCATATTTTCAATTTCTTTCTCTGCTCCAGACTGACCCATAATAATCAACACATCAATAGTGTTTTTTTCTCTCTTTTTATGTTTTAATTGCATCAGTTTGGCTCAGTGGCACAATAGGAGGCTGATTATAGTGGTGTAAAAGCTCTCTGCTCTGCCTGTTACCTCATCATTAATCTACAATTAGTGTAATCAATGAACAGGGGTTAAATGCTCAAGGCTCTGTGCTAGAGCCTAATTACCTACTTAGATAAACGTGTAATTTATATAATCTTAAATTACCCAAAAACATTCCACATATGCCATTTAATTGTCAGGAACAACAACTTGTAAATTGCTGCTAAGATTTGTTTTAAAACACTTAATTCTACAGCACCTTTACATTTGCTTTTGATGTAAAGTAAATTGCGTAAATGAACATATTCTGTAAATCCTTCTCACTGCAAATGTAATACAGTTGATTACATACATTACATCAGAACATGTACATTTCATTATTTCTTTTTAATCGGTGTGATTCCATGATAGGTTTTCTTATGTAAAGCATTGTTTTACTTTTTTTTTTACGTTTTATAATTTGTAATTACCTCAAAGGTCATGGCTATTCCAGTTTTGACAATTAGAACGAATCTCCCAAGTTGTATGTACATGAAAATGTTTGTTTTTGAAAACATAGAAAAATCGCATATATCAGTGTCCTGGTTTCCATTACAGATTTGAGCAAAACTTATGCGATATTTCCTAAATGTCGATTAAAAAAAATGTGTGCAATGACAGCGTTTCCATTAACCAATGTTATGTGATTAAAACGTAATTTTTTTCTCGTGCGATAAGTCATTCCAGAAATCATGGCAACGAATGTTGTCTCGCCAGGTGATCTCTTTTGCGAAATATTCCTTTTTCGAATTGGCTGAAAAACCACCTCATGCGAGCGTAAAAACATTTTTGCGATATATGGGAGTTTTTGCAAAATTGATGTGTTTCCATTGGGCGTATTTTCAATTCGCATTTTCAATTTGCGCAATTCGAAGGGTAATGGAAACGCAGCTAGTGTTATGTGTAAAGTTATATCTACACTTTACATACTTTTTTGTATGTAAAGTGTATACACGTAACTTTTTGTTAAATTTATTACTGAGATCAGTAAGAGTACGTTTACACAACAACGATGTACTAAAAACAAAAAAGCTTCCTTTGCATTTTTCTCTGTACAAATGACAACGTAGTCAAAACGATCCCGGTTCAAGCGGATCCGTGAAAAACGACTAAAGACGCTGTATTATTCATGCCAGGCCAGAAGATGGCGATCTCACTTTGTAAAGAAACACTACGAGCCTATTGACTGAACACGTAATACACGTGCGCATGACGACATTTTCACAAATTCCTGTTTTTGTAGTTTACACGGAGACGATAACGTTTTAAAAAAAATGTGCACTTTGAAACCCGTTTTCAAAAGTTAGCATTTTCAGGCTCTCAAAACACCGTTGTTGTGTAAATGAACGACCAAAACATATAAAGAGTTTTCAGTGTATTGTTGAAAACCGTGTCATGGCACCTTAGAATGAACCTTTTGTAGTGTAAGTTTTAAACATAATTTGTTTTTCCGTAGATTTGTTTACATTTTAATTCAAAGTTTTTAAGTCTATAAGGAAACTGACTGTATCTCATCCCATGATTCCCAGTGAACTGTGTAGAAAGAGTTTCTTCTTACTTGTTAATGGCATTCTTTAGATACTGCTGAAGCCATTTGGTCTTGGGGTTGATGCAGACCTCTCTGTTGTTCTTCAGCTTGGCACTGGTAATGAGAGGGAGAAAAGAAGGGATTTGTTTCGAACGAGAGCAAAAGAGAGACTGTACCTTTCTCCCTCTGCGGTTCTACAGTGTGTTTCATCAGATCGTATCAGCTGTCCGTCATGGACTGCATTTCAGCTCCTCTATTCTCCTGTACTGGCAGGAGTCACTGCACTCCATCAGATAACTGGACTGAATTAGAGGCGGTTCGGTTCGTAAGGATAATGTTGTGCTGTCTGGAAGTTCGACATTTTTGATGATTCTGAGGACTTTGACTGAGATTCCCAGAACTGTGCATGTGCATATAGTTTGTCTAAAGTAACATAAATGAATTGATTTCCTCTGAAATTGTCTACACTGATACATTAATGTTAATAATATCTTAATAATTAGCGTTCTTGAAGTAAACAGACTAGGATGATGTGTTTCCAGTTATTAACATCGTAAATCTAGCAACGTTTTTTTTTTACATTTTCATTTTTAAAAGAATGAATCTACATTTATAACACTGTAAATTCTGTTTTATCACCTTGGCATTAATATATAGAAAACTGATTAAAACTGCTGCGTTTTTTCCTATTTTGGAAAGTCATAGAAACGGTATCGTAGATTTTTCTTTCTATCTATCTATCTATCTATCTATCTATCTATCTATCTATCTATCTATCTATCTATCTATCTATCTATCTATCTATCTATCTATCTATCTATCTATCTATCTATCTATCTATCTATCTATCTATCTATCTATCTTACATCCTAGCAATAACTAGGCCTACAGCAATATTTACCTTGATATTTGCACAAAAAAACCTTTCGCATGGAGCCTGTTTTGGTTAATGACAAAGAAAAAGTAAAGTATCTGAAATAACTCGAGCAGAAATCTTTTTGATTGATATCTGACCTCCAAATTTGCTTCGGCCCAGCCGGGAATATCCCCTCAAACGCTTCGTTCACCCACACATGGAGAAAACAACACAAATGACACCCGGACTTCGCACCTCAGTGGCAAAAGGTTGTGTTTGAGAGTTAGCGGCTCACGTTGCCATTCAAATGGCTCCTATTCGTATTGCTTACACCTCACACACACACGGTTCTCTCAATCTGTCTAGACAAATGGAGCCTGTCAGCCCAGATAAAAGATCCGCTTAACCCCAAATCTACACACGAATCCACCCAATCAACCTCCCGATCAGTAAGCTAACTAAAAGTGTAATGCTACCCCTTGTTTGTGTTCCGGCGGGATGTCTTCCATTGAGTTTATCTTGAGAGAGTTTGTTTTATTTGTTTGTTTGTTTGTGATTTGGGTCTCTGAGTTAATCTAGCTAGTCTAAACGATCTTTTGCGCGAGCTTGTCGGTGGTCTGGGGCCGAGCCAGCAGGTAGTAATTACCTCACAGCTAGCTAATGCTAACAACAAAATGAGTGATGTGCGTGTCTAGGGGGGACAGGGTAGGTGGCTGTCTTTCATCTAGGCCAATGAATCCGAAAGGATTTCTAAACAAGATGTGTGGAAAGTGGCAGATTAAAGGTGATTTCCTCCGGCCAAAGTTTGTTCCCCAAATGACCCTTGGCTACATGCTAACCTCTGTAACCCCTGTAACCTTGATCCCCTGTAGCGCTTTGGCTTTTCTGCTGCTGACGGGGTACAAATGGTTCGGTTTAATACATTCCAGACCACTGAAGTAATACCAAATGCTGGTAAAATGAAAAGGACAAGGTCACCCGTAACACAAAGCTAATCATTTTGACCCTTAACAATTATTGTGTCATGAAAACCTGAACGCTCATAATGGACAAAATCACTCTCTCAAATTTTCTCATGTGGTCCTTTTTTGTTACTCTGTTACTGAATAAGAGGACACATTGCTTCTTTCCCACATGGTTTGACTCCTAAAACTGTGGAAATGTGCAACTTTGAGAGCTATTTCTGGAGCTCTTAAAAGGACTATCGTTGGTGTACTTTAATTTAGTTGTGTAAAGCATGACAAATGTGGAAGAGTTTTGCTGTTGTGAGATAGACGGCCGTGGGATGTCGACTCACATGACTTGGAACGGGCAGCTGGGTGTGTGGAGGAACTTAATCTCACGGATGCTCCTCTGCGGGACGGTGTTGAGAGTGGACCGGCACCAACATCTCTCCACCAGACTGATGGGTTTAGCTGTGACGGGATCAGAACAGAAAGTATGGAGTCAGTGCTGGAGAAACATGAAAAATGCCTCTTATATCAAAGAGATTTGAAGTTACAGTTTGTATTGAAGTGATAAATTAATACGCTAATTAATTAATTCAAAAGTTTGGGGTCGGTATGGTGTTTTCGAAAGAAATTAATACTTTTATTCAGCAAGGATGGATTGAATTGATCAAAAGTGACAGTAAAGACATTCATAATGTTACATAATATTTCTATTTTAATAAATGCTGTTCTTTTGAATTTTCTATTCATTTAGGAAACTTGAGACAACATGTTTCACCGTGTCCTCAAAAATATTAAGCAGCACAACTGTTTTCAACATTGATAATAATCATAAATGTTTCTTGAACATTAAATATTAGACTGGTTTCTGAAGGATCATGTGACTCTGAAGACTGGAGTAATGATGCTGAAAATATAGCTTTGCTCACAGGAATAAATTGCATTTTGAAATATATTCAAATAGAAAACCGATATTTTAAATGATAATAATATTTCACAATTTTACTGTATTTCTTGATCATCAAATGCAGCAGAAGAGACTTCTTTCAATAACGTAAGAAATCCCAAATGTTTCAATGGTAGTGTATGAGATCTTCAAAATACAGATATTATATTAGAAACACGTTTTAAAATATTTTAAAATACTTAAGATAATTCCTTGCTTCTCTTCATATTATTTTCATGAATTCATGGAAATATAGCTTAAAACAAATCTTGTGTTTTCAATTTTAAAATTTGATGTACTGATTTGTTCCCCTTGTAAAAAAAAAAAAAAAAGTTTTTTTTTTTACATTGCAACAGATTATCACAATTTTTTTGTAGATGCATACACTAACAAGATGGATAATCTTTTAAAACAACGTTTTTTCAGTTTAAACAGCTGTTTCTAGCTGATCTGAACCTTTAAAATGATTTGACTAAACCTTTGTATTCAGAACTTACAAAGACACAATGAAATCACATATTAGAAACTTCATTTCCAACTAAAGGAATCCATAGTTCATGCTAATGCAATATCATCCTACAGCACAACTCAAATCAGTGAACTCTCGAAAGCATCTTCTGAAAGTGTCCGATCACCTGTGTCCATTAACAAACCCTGATCATTAAAAAGAGATTAGTCTGCATTCTAGTGGCCCTCGTCCATTCACACAGGGGCCGGCCTGGCTTTTCACTCGCCACATTTTTCATCAGGAGCCTTTCTGAGGGTCCTCAACATTAAATACGGCACAATCCCATAATCACACTATGCCACTCCAGGTTTAGTCCTGAATATGTGCATTAAATGAATCTGTTGAAGAACATTCCCTGAATGGTTTCACATCTCCCTGGTTTCCCTTTGCCGAAACGGACCCGGTTATGAGGCAAGTCAAACTCTGAATTCCCACAGATATTCCCGACACTCTCTGTTCCCTTTATCATGTTAAACACCGGCCCATTAAGCCTTGACTAAACACTGCGCCAAGTGAACAGCGCAGGAACTTTTTGCTTACTATTCCCTAATTAGACAGTAATTAATAGAGCTTGCGGATAAGTAAACAGTGCACAGAAACAACAAAGCCAGACCCGCCAAGTTCAGCTGGTTAAACATCTCGCCGAAACCTTCTGTCCTTTTAGATCAGGCCCGCTAACATGTAAAGACATGTACAGCTGAGTGAAGACATGTATGCTAATTTATGCAGGGCATTTTCCAGCTGCAAGGTGATATTAATGGAACCTCTTAATGACCGTTAACTCCTTAATGATCATTAACTGAAAACTATTCTGGAAAACTTGATACAGCAGTTCTGCAATTTATGACTCAAGTAATTAAAACATTTCAGCAGAACATACACAGTAAAAACGTTTACAAAGTTGTAAATAAAACAAAGATTATTGGAGTATGTTTTAGTATTTTTATAAGAAAAAAGATTTCCTGTTTTATTAAATGTTACTTGCCATTTCTTTGTAATTATTGTGAATTTTACAAGCAATTTTCTCAAACAATTCAAAATTGTTTCAAAGTAAATCCTACAGCATTTTCTTCAGAGTTCAATAGGAAAGCTATGAGTTTTTGTTTTGTTTTGTTTATTTTTGTTTAGTTTAGCTTTGTTTTTGTTTACTTTTTAGTTTAGCTTTGTTTTTGTTCAGTTTTTAGTTGTTTTGCTTTGTTTTTCCTTAGTTTTTAGTTTAGTTAAGCTTTGCTTTGTTTTTTAGTATATATTTTATTTTGAGCGATGAATTTAAAATGAATTAATATTACACATTATAAATGTATTTTTGAAAATAACAAAGTACATTTTTAGTCATTTTGAACATATTTATTTTGTTACATTACAATATTACATTGCTTGTTACATTACAATATATTAGTTTATTACAATTATAATGAATACACTAATTTAATTTATTATAAATGTGTTATTCAAAATAAAATACGTTTTTTCTTTATTTTAGCGTAAGATGCCCAGGATGATACACCAGTATCCATCTTACTACACTTAAAAAAATTATATGATCAATAAGTTATGACAACATATGTTTTTACATTGCTTTAACTCATCAAAATAAGTTTTTTTCAACTTTTTTATGTTAAACAAGATTCATTTTTTTAAAGTCAGTAAAATGTAAATTAAGCTGAAATTAATTAAACATCCAAGTTGATTGTACTTAAAAATGTAAGGCAGCAACTTTATTTTACAATGTATTGTTATTTATAGTTAACTGAATTGCAACACAACACTTCAAAGCATCATCTGAGAAGTGAAATGCTGTAAATCTGTAAATGTTAGTCGTAACCCACTTACCGTCAGTCTCTGGGCTCCGTATGGCGAGCGTCAGCAGGGCCACCAGCGCTAGAACTTTGCTATCCATGCCAAGTGTGTGTGTGTGTGTGTGGCTTTTGTCCGTCACAGCTAGCTTCCAGAGCTCAGTGTGGCGTCTCAGAGCTCTGCGAAGTGTTAAGACTAAAGGACCAGAGGGAAACACTCCCCCCTTTCTCAGGAGGAGGGGATGAAGGAGGAGGAGGAGGAGGAGGAGGAGGAGGAGGGAGGGGGGCTGGACCCTCTCCTCCGACAGCCACCTTCTCCAGCGAACGGCCAAAAAATGTTCTGGCAAAGATTCAGCAGTGACAGTCTGACTCAGACTCTCTCTCTCTTGTTTCTATCTTCCTCTGCATCTTTTTATTCTTCTCAGTGGAGCGGAGAAAGCAGAGGCCCTGCTGTTATCTCAGTATTGTTGTTTTTCAATGCTTCGATTTGTTATTGTTTGTTTCATGTCATGTTTTTCTGGTAGTCGACTTTCACTAACTGGCGCTGCTGTGTTTCCTGGCTCTCAGTTTACCTGCCGCCGCATATCAGATTCCATCCATTTTAGGATATGATTCGGGTGTATCTGAATTATATACAGGCAAAAGTTTGAACACAAACATTTTGTAATCTTTAAGACCTAAAAGCTTATGCTTAAATGCTGGAAATTAGGTTTGTAGACAAATATAATTAAAGAAATGTGAAGGAAAAGCTGCCAAACAAGTGTCACAAGATAAAAGCCATGGGAAATTGGATTGACTTTACCATTACATTAAAACATTTTATTTTGCAGCATTTTTTTTTTTAATCTTAAACTATCAAGGAAAAGTATTTAAGAATATTTAAAGGTTGGGAAAGAATTTTCTGCATTTTGTAATTGTATTTGGTCTAGAAATAATATTTGTAATAGTGAGCTTTACCTCCAAATGCTGTAAATACTATCACTGTTAGTTGATGCAACTGGCACAACTTACCCCAAAGCAGCTGGCACATCTTACCCCAAACCTGCCATTTTAGTAAAAAAAAAAATAGTTTCATTAATAATTTGTGACTAATCTGCCAAATATTTATCGGCATGTAAAAATATTTTAAAGAATTATATAATATAAAAATTATAACTTTTTTATTTAACGTTTTTTTATTGCTTTTTAAACTTCTCTGAAGCCATACGATACCTTTGTGCAATTAACAGACCAAAACTGTTATCGTTTGCTCTGCCAAAGCTCTTAAAAAATTAATTTGCATTTGTTTTCATTCAAATATGGCGCGTTAAGACGTGTCATGACATTTTTCACGATCGCTATCTCTAGCGTGACACGTCCTGACGCAGCATATTTGAATGCATTGATTGATTGAACAACAAAGCTCTTGTCCAGTTGAACAGGCCTTTGCAACAATGCGAAAAAAAAAAAAGAAACGAGCACAGACCAAAGCAAGGGCATGTGAGTGTCCGTCTCCATAAAACAGTGGCTGGTGAAGTACCTTGAGTCAGTGGAGACACTGTGTTACACTTTTAATAGGCTACATTCAGACCCTCACGCTGAGAGACCCTGCAGCACCAAACCCCCTTAACAGCCCGTAAACTTTAGAGGGTGTTGATACTTATCAAGCGGTCAGCCGAGGTGCAAACAACAGGCATGTGAAAAGGACTGGTATACAAACTTAACATTAATTATATGTTTTGAGGTCATCGAGGGTCTGTTATGTTTCAGTGGCACTTCAAACGTCTCGCAGTTCGTGATATTTAGTCACTGGAGTGACGTTTGGCACGTATAACAAACAATATTGCAGGTGGAAAAACAATCATCCCTGTTAAACAACAGAAGTATTTTCTTTGTTGTTTATAATGTATACTTGGAGTATTTTAGGGATTCCTTTTTGATCTGAGATCAAACGCTCTGATTTTTTCCAGTGATATTTGTAAATCCTGCGTTAATGTTCACATTGTTGATCTCAACCCTTGGCCTTTTTTTAAAGTGCAAGTGAGCGGGAGGATGTTGAAAAGATTACTAAACATCACTAGTGACAACTCTGCAACTTGTATCACTTTAGAGGGCAGAGGGCACGTTTCACATCCTCAGGTTTCGTGTTTCAGAGAAACGTTTTCCTTCACTTTGTTCTCACAAAGAGCTGACGGACAACCGAAGACGAATGCGTGACGCAGGACAGTGAATAAATCACTTTATATTTGTGTTTATTTACATTTCACTGAAGCAGAACATTACACTAGGTGAGAGTGGAGGTAAGTTGTGCCACTTTTTTACCTATTTCCTCTAGGCCACGGGGATTGAGTTTAATTGGGTTTAAGTTTAATTGTTGGGGAATACATGAGAAATTTGCATAAATGAGAACCAAGTTTAGTAATGCACAATGCATGTTATTTATTTTTATCTTAAACTATCTAGAATTTTTTTTTCAAGTTTGAATTGGTGTTTGTTACAACTTACAAGATTATAATAGTGAGATTCGCCTCTAAATGCTGTAAATAATATCACTGTTAGTTGATGGCACTGGCACAACTTACCCCAATGCATCTGGCACAACTTACCCCAAAGGTACCATTTTAGTTAAAAAAAAAGTTTTATTATTAATTCATGACAAATAATTTAGCAACTGAGGGGCCACAACACCATTTTTAACTAAAAACAGAAAACTTTTTATGTGTTTTGGCCTTTCATTTACACGACGACAGCGCTTTGGGGGCCTGAAAATGTAAATGTTTGAAAATGGGTTTCAGTGCAAGTTTTTGAAACCGATACCGGTTTCGTATCAGTGTAAACTACAAAAACGCAAATTTGTGAAAACTGTGACGTCATGCGTATGTGTATTACATGTTCAGTCTATAAGTGCGTAGCTGTTTTTTTACAAAGTGACTTCTACTGGTCTGGCATGAATAATACAGCATTTTTAATAGTTTTCACTGATCCGGAACGGTTTGACAATGTTGTCGTCTGTATTTGAAAAACACAAAGTAAAAACTTTTCAGTTTTTAGTACATTGTTGTCGTACCCTAATATATATGGGTTTATTTATTGGCAGTTAGCCAAAATGTAAGACATATTTTTAAGAAATGATATGAGATAACACTTATAAAATGTATAAAAATATAAAATAAAAATGTAATATAAAATCACTCTTTGTCTGACATTTTTAAACAAACTGTTTAGTCTTTTTGATTGGAACTGGAAACTAATGGCTACTACAAAGGTGAAAAAAATATGTATTTATGATAACTAATATATTGTTGTGAATATATGTGTTTGTTTATGTTGTACGTTTACAATTTTTTAATTCATTAACAATATTAAATAATGTATATGTACTTGGATACATTCACCCAGATCTTTACCAAATGAAACCTAAAAGCTATTTTCAACATAAAAAAATGCTTACTGTAATTTTTTCATGATAATCTGTTAATCACAGCTGACTATATGATTGGCCCTTTAAGGTTACATAATAAAAAGGACTGCGTTTTAAACGTTTCTGGTGGTATGGTAGGTTTCCTTCTCTCTTCTGTTCAAGTTGTCTCTTTTGATGTCACATTATTGATTTCCATCTACACACTTTAATGAATGTGATGATAGACTTTTGTTGGTCCAAGATTCCATAAGGAGATTATTTACATCCATTCGTGATTACAGTTAATACAAATATACTAAATATACAACCCTTCCAAAAAAGGGAATAAGTCAAAGAAACACAAACCCATTAAACAATATACATTTACACATTCTCGAAGTTCAGTCATCAGCATCAGTATACACTGGTGGATAGGCATCTAGAAGCAGCAGGTGTGTCGTAGCACTCAAAGCCTGTGGTCGGATCCATGCTAGCGCTCTCGCCTGTCCCGAGGGACTCGCTCCTCACGCATGCAGCGTTTATTATGTTCCAAACTGAGAAGCTGAGATGTTTGTTAGGAATCAGAGGACAGCTTTTGTCATCTTTGAGAAGAGGGAACACATTAAAGGGATGAAAGGCTTCCCTCTGCTGGTCTCTGCGGCCGCACAGCAAACAACAATCACTCTCTATCAGACTTTTGAAACAAACCGCTCAACCGTTCAGTCTATTTGATTCAACTTGTTCCCTGGAAAACAAATGCTATACTTCAAGAGTGTTTCATTTTTTTGGAAAGATTTTATATATATAATTGTGTATATATTTTGTTGTAGTATTTGTTAATATGTTGTATATTATATTGTATATATATATATAATCTAGTAATACATACAATATAATATTAATATATGTATAGTCATATATTAAAATATGTAATTATTTATGCTACTGCAATAGTGATTATAATTGTATTACATTACATAATTTAATAAAATTATAACATATTAATTATTGTTGTGTATATATATATATATATATATATATATATATTCTGTATATATAATAAAAAATAGTAGTATATACAATATTATAATTATACATTTAGCATATATTGAAATATTTTATTATATAATCATATAACGATGCAAAATAGCACAAAAAAAAAGTTAAGTAAAAAAAAAAAAAAAGAAAAAAAAAGGCAAGTCTGCAAAAATAAGTCAAGTTTCAGGTAATCTAAACAAAAGTTCTTTATCTGGTAACATCTAAATGTACTGGTTTTATTCTTGTTGAAATATTATTTAGTACGACTGAATCAACCAGATTGCGCTGGGTTACAGCCAGGCCCGCATTAATCTGCCCTTAGGCCCTGGGGCTGAGAGGTTTTGTAGGCCCACAATAAAAAAAAAAGTCTAATGATCACGTTTGTCTATACAACAAAAGCAGAAATAAGTTTCTCTCGGGGAGATATAGCCTAATGAAAACAGTATTCCATAAAAAAATCCACAACAACAGCAATGTAAAACCTCCACAGCACAGGCTATACTGGAAAGCAGTAAATAGTCTAGTTTTAGTTGACGAAATACAATAAGATTTTAGTCGACTAAGTTTACAGAAGATTTAGTCGACTAAAATCGAATGGGTTTAGTGAAATTCTAATGCATTAATTTAGAATTTCTCTAAAATTTCCAAACCCATTATATATTCCCGTAGAAAACATCTATTAACCTTAATATGAATAATTTTTAAAGTTTGAACATGCAATACTGTACAGACACAGATTTAGCACGGTGACATAACATAATATCTTAAA